TACATTTTTTGAGTTTTCATTTTACTCACATTGCCAGTATTTGCTGCATTTGCAGAGACACACTTTGCAATACAAAATAATGTTTTTCATGGGCTGGTGAGGAGAATTTGTGGCTTGCTGACATTCTTAGTGGAATCATCAGTGATACTTTCCTGTGTTCTCACCTGTGTTGTGCCAATGGCCTCTGGGGTGTCCTCTGTCTTATTTAGACTTCTTGACAAGATGCCCCTGCTCCTGGGGGATCTCCTGAGGCTGGACTCTGGGCTGCTGACTGTGGGTCTTTGATTACTGCGAGTTCTGACCTTACTTGGCTCACGTTTGGCTGCTTCTTCAGACCGGTTTTCTTTTGCAAGTATTCTGAAAAAAAGATTTTATTTTATTCAGATTTTATGATTGTAATAGTCCTTGTTTTTTTATTCCCCATCCAATCAGACATAAAAAACTGTGCATTTAAATTTCAATAAAAAAGGGAAAAATATTTAGAAACTGGGAGTTTTTCAGCACTGACAAGATATAATGTACAATGTATTTTCATGCACAATTCCAGAACTTTTCAGGAGTGTCAGTGAGTTACAAATTGCCAATAAGCAAAAACAAACTGTAAGAAATGATGAGCCTTCTGTAAAACTGTCTGTTTTTTGCTCCTCAAAGTAAAAACCACTCACTCAGACCATTCAACATTTAACAACATAAAACAACATACAACACGTTGGCCTTATTAACCAATAACCATATTAACCATTGTAACAAAAAATATAGGTAAAATAAATTAAGTGTTGTAGGTACAAGATACACTGTGTGTTAGATAGGTAAGAGTATAACATACATATCTGCTTGCCCGTCTCCTGTGCTCTCTTCAGATGATAACTTCCTGCGACAATTGTTTCCTTCTTTTCTCAATTGGTCACAGCCAACATTCTCCACAATCATCTCTGGAGTTCCTACTTCACTGGGAGCAGTTTCACTGCAATCTTCTGCTAAAACCCAAGAAAAATCAATGAATTCATTTGGGAGTAAAGTCTCTGGAATCTCCAATTACCTTGCAAAATGCCACTATTACTGTATGTACTTAATAAATAATTTAATTTTCAGTTTGCAGTACATTTTCTCCTGAACCTTCCATTCTCACCAGGCAAATGCTGTGGATCCCCACTGTGTGATCGTGTCCGAGGGCCAGTGGCTGCTCTACTAAGGATGGGCTTGGGCTTCTGGAACTGGGCCCTTCTGAATCGAGCCCCATTCTGGGCTGAGGAGTCTGGGCCTTTGGCACTTGACTCTGCTGTGACTTCTTGTGCTTCAAGAGCTCTGGAAAACAGAAATTCATTATTTGGTCACAATTTCTAAAAAAGGATTTCCCCATCTTCACAAAAACCTTAATGTAGCATCAGTGCCAGAGGAGAGACTGCAACCTACTGGTCCACACCCTCTCCGTGAAACATTAGTTTCCTCTGATGCTTACAAGATCCATGTGTTTAGCTTACAAGGAGTACCTAGATGGTGTTTCCATGAACATTTAATACAATTGTAGGAATTGACCTTCGTCTGGCATCCATGTCTTGTCCTTTAAAACGTGCTAATAAAAATACTATATAATGTAAATGTATAAATCCATGCGGTTTATCATTCCTACATTCAAGAGAAGAGAACATGAGTTTAGAGAAGTAAAATCAGTTTGGATGCCTCTGGCAGAAGTCCGGAAAGTTCAGTTTCCAGAAAGTAACATGCAAAACTACTTACTACTAAAATAAGCACAAAGCATATTTAATAGTTTTACTGAAAAAAACTCAAAATAGAAGAGATGGATTCCTTACTTTTACAGCACAACACTCCAACTTTTGCCTTGCAAGAGTCTTACCTGGGCTTATCTTCCTTCTTCAAAGCTTCTTCACATGATTCCTCTTTATCACTGTGTTCCCTCAGGATTTCTTTCTCTTTGATGCAGCTTGAGTCAGATGTCTCCTCTGCAACAGATTGTTGTGGGGCAGAATCCACAGAGGCTTCTGTAACTGAATTGTTGAAAGGTAAGACGGCAAAAATCATTTTTAATAGTGACTCCTACAAAAGAAAATGTTGTAATTTTATTCTTAGAAAAGGCAAAATGAGTATTTCTGGATCACAGCTTTTCAAAGACAGCCGAAATACCAGTTGTTCACACACCTCAGATTTAAAATTGACTTTAATTACTTGAAAATTACACAAGCACTCAAGCTAAACTGTTTAAATATATATTTTTTTGCTTTATCATACAGCAAGCCACTCTGCCTCCCATGTCTTTTATTCTTACCTGTATCCTTGAGTGATGCTCCACATCGGTCTGATCCTGTCTGAGGACTTCTGGCTGTCCCGCCAACGTTGGGTTTGGGTTTTGGGAACCTGCTCCGTCTGAATCGGGACCCACTCTGTACCGAGGAGACTGGGCTTCTGGAACTCAACTCTGAAGTGACTTCGGGCACCTCGGAAACTCTAGAAAACAGCACTTCAATAAGGAACCATTCATTCCTGAATCAGTAGAGGTACCACTGAGAACAAGGCCTCAATTACAAGAGGGTAATGGAGAGCAATATTGGTTCATAAAAAATGTTCTCTACTTTAAGGAAGGGAAATATTGTGGTACTGTAGGAGATGTTTTCATAACTGGCTTTAGATTCTGGTGACGACACATCTGCTCTATGTTAAGGGATTTCTAATTCCATTATCAGGCTGGGACTTCAATTTGATGTTATGCCTAAAAGAAGGTGTGTACCAATGCACATTGACCTTTTAACCATAATAAATACCAATTCCCTAATTTCTGAGGTCAGAAAGTGGCACTTATTCCTATCACAACCACTTCAAGCAGTATCTTACCCACATACTAGCTCAACAGTTTTGCTAAGCTTTTGAAATGTGATTAAATCATGTTGTACAGCTGCAAGAAATAGTCCTGAGTCCTGAATATATTTTAAAGGATATTAACAAATTCAGTAAAGGTGTTAATTTGTAACAGTGATGCGAACACTCAGCATCAAGGAACCCAATCAGACATTCCACCGTCGTACAGTTATATTAAGATGCTATGGCCACAATTTACATTGTGAATTTAATAATATACCTTTTAAAGAGCATTTGCCTTTGTAAAATTAACACTAATGAAAAAAATACTGTATATCTCAAGATAATAATGCATGCAATATATCTTCTACAAGCACAATAAATAATAATTTAAATATCCTTTTTGATTTTATTGTAAAATATTGGCTCAAAAGTGAAGTCCTACAGTAAGACTGCATCTCTTATATAAAATATATCATGTAAAATTGATTTAGATTTTTTTTCTGTACATCTTAGAAACTTCTAAGCTGCAGAGCACTTTTAAATATTTAACAATTTTTTAATAATACCAAGAATACTGACAAAACGTTAACCCCACTTTCTTGAAAAGTCTTGAATCCTCTTTCTAAATGTCTTACTTGGAGCTGTTTTCCTGTTCATGTTCAGCCGTTTCCTTCTTATCAGGGACCTCTCCAGGGACCTCATAGACCTCATTCTCTTTCATGCTGTTTAAGTCAGTCTCCTCTTGCTCGAGAGCCTGCTGTTGAACAGACTCCATAGAAGCAGCAGGCTGAACTGAATTATCTGAAGGCAAGACGGTAAGACATCTTTTTAATAATAATTTCCTACATAAAAAAAAAGGGCATCATCATTCTGCTTTCCGAAAGTCATGTCTGTGTTATAATAAAGAACTTGCTTGTGATTTTGTGGACAATTTGCAATAAATAGGAACACTCACTGTAGTAACTAAAACAAAGCTCTGAATTAGAACTCTCCTCACTTGTATTCACAAAAAACATAAATACAGTTTTAAAAGGTTTTTTTTCAGTTTGTAAGTCACCCTTCCTCCTAGCCCCTCCATGTGCAGTGCTCTCACCAATGATCTTGTGCGGGGCTTTATCTTGCACCGGTATCTGAAGACCTCTGGCTGTGCTTCCCAGATTGGGTTTGGGCCTGGGGAACCTGCTCCTTCTGCTCTGAGACTTGTTTTCGGTTGGCGAGCTTTGACATAATGCGCTCATCTCTGCGCTGCCTTCAGACTCTTCAGAAACCCTAGAAAATAAGCTAATTATTTGCTTTTTCACTCTATAACCATAGGAGTACAGACAGAAAGGAAAAGGGATATGCATTTAGCACTAAAAACAGCAGATCTATCTTTAAACAGAAAAGTTAGGCTGTCACTGACCCTGAGTCTCCCATGTCTTTGAAAGGAAAGGCTGAACCAGATACATGAATCAAAATGCTATTAGAGACCAAATGTGCAAGATGGGCTCTGGATAGTTTTCCATTACTTAAAATGTTCTTAGTGTAACTTTAAAAACTTAGGTAACACTTCTACAATAACTGAGAAAAACAAATACATTTAATATGAAATAATACTGGCATATTGTGAATGATATGAATGTTATTTTACAGTAGTCCAATATTAAGATTACTGTAAACACGGTATTCTAAACATAGATATTTCAATCACATACATTACAATAGAAAGCCACCACTTAATTCAAGTTCATCACAGATTTTTATTGTAATATTGAGGAAGGGCAGACTGATTAGGATTTAAAATGTTTTAAAATGTAATGTGCAATTATAATTTTACTGAATATGCTCTTTTGTTTTCTGATTTTGTTAATTTTTTAAGCCCATGGACATTTTTTCCCCAATATATGAAACCCTGGCACAGTTTCACTTTTTTGTTTATTAGGAATCTTACCCAGGAGTGCCCTCCTGTTTCTGAGCATCTTCACCAGGTTTCTTGCTAAGAGCCAGGCCTAACCCATCTTTGTCTTTTGAACTGTTTGAGCCAGGCTGGTGCTCTTCAGACAACAACGGCGGGACAGATGTAATGGGTGCAGGCACATCTGAACTGGCTGAAAACAAGATAGTGAAAGATATATCTGGAAATTAGATGGTGTTACAACATGAAAATGACTATTCTATGCTTTGTGAAGAGCTCTGTGAATACACAAAGTGAGAAAATAAGAACAACAATTATATTCTTGACTTTACATCCAACAGTCATGTGGGGGTGAATGCGGTGTGTTTGGTTTCTAAAGTTCATTAAAGTACTACAGTATATGTATAAAACTTTGCTCAAAAGAAAAATCTTCTTACAATAACTTACAACAATGCGACAAACACCTGAAATACACTGAAATTTTCTTAATAAAAGTTTTTTATTTTACATCCCTCTGCCTTCAGTACTCAGTGTTCTCACCAGTGCTGTTCTGAGGTGCTCTGCTCGGGGCTGGTTTCGGACTATCCTGTCCTGTCTGGGGATCTCGGACTGTCCTGCCCAGATTGGGTTTGGGTCTTGGGAACCTGCTCCTTCTGAATCGACCCTCATTCTGAGCTGGCAAGCCTGGGTTTGTAGCACTCGACGCCGGCGTGACTTCAGGGGACCCAGGAACTCTGCCAAACAGCAGTTACTCACTTAGATATTATTCAGACTATTATCAATTCAGGATATCAAAATAAAGCCTTTAGGGTTTAAATAAATAGCAATTTTTGCTTGTTCAAATTAGCAATCTAGCATCATATTTTTTAAACTGTTTTAAACACCCAATATAGTAATAAAAAGAATTAAAACACTTCAAAAATAAGTAGAATTATTAAAGGAGC